AAGGCTACAGGTGATATACCCAACCGATCGTTGAATAATTGTTACCGAAACAAATCTTAATTTTCAAAATCGTCACTGGTAGGATTTGAACCCTAGACCTGCCATTTGGGGGGTGACAACTTGCCAACTGCACTATGTCGCCACACCCAATAGTTGATTTTAATTGATAATTATCGTTATAATCATATCAATATGCCGATACTAATTTAACATAAATCAGTAATCAAACCTTAATGTGACTATATATTTTAACTATGTCATAAATAATGTATGATATTAAGCATTTGGTAGATAATCAAAAATGAATATATTTAGCTCTGGATTGTGTATGAAGATTTGATTTCAGCAACTTTAGATATTTAAAAAGCAACACTAGATAGGTGGCTTCTTTAAATATGACTATCGATATATATTGAATAAATTAAGTATAATAATGATAATAAGATATTATATTTTTTAAACCCAATTTTTAATTTTTATGGATGTTTTAATATAGATATTATCCTAATGTTTTATATTAGTGGCTAAAGTGAATTTTAAAATATTCAGCCAAATTCTTTTTACTCCGATTTCTTCTTTGACGATCGTTCATGAGGTGCTAGTTTGTTTAATTAGATATATTTGGGAAGAAAAATAAGAATGTGTTTTCATATGTAATTTTTTTTATGTCTTGCTTGAGTAATTATGATTCATAAATCACAAAGTTTACTGTAATAAAAATTGTCAATAAGGAATTTGCTATAAGTTTTTACATTTGTAATTATGGTATATCAAAGGTCCAACCACTTTCTAATCTGTTAATAATGTTTTCTTATAATTGATTATAAAAACTAAGGAAAAATACATATTTACAACAATACAACAAAAAATATTAGTTGAAGAGCAAAGATTCCTTTCTTTATAGTTTTGTACTCTTCATATATATGCATATTAATATAAACAGAATATGTTTTTATATATATATAAATTTTATATATATTATTGTTATGTCTTTACAACCCATGATTAAAACCAATGATTAAGATCAATGATTAAAACCTATAATTAAACCTATTATTAAAGCCCATAATTAAAATCTATGATTAAAACCAATAATTAAAACCCATAATTATAAATGATGAGATTTTTTAGATTGATTATTAGGTCAAAACAACATCTTTTTTGTTTTTTTTTAAAAAAAAAAATCTTTTTGATATTAAATTTTAAATTTATAAATTTTAATATTAAATTGCATTAATAAAGGTTTGTTTTTTTATATAATATACATCTATATACAGCATTTTATACAAAATTAATATGTGAATAATTTTTAACTAATTACAAATAACAAGAAGAATATACATATTAATTGTCAAGGGGTTTGTCACACTATATTAATAAAAAGATTCCTAATGCTAAGATTTTTTTTCAAGTTCTAAAACACATTTATACTTTAATTTTAGCATCATAAATGTGCTTATCAAAAAAATCTTTCAGATCTTTCAGATCTTTTAGACTATTGCATTGGATTTCCAAATCATTATTAACTATTGAATGATGATTTGTTATGATATTTACGAAAAAAAAGCTTTTGCATATATCTCTATGGATTTATAGGTCGAGCGCCTAAAAGAATTAAAATATTAGTTATAAAGATGTAATGCTTTATAAAATATATAATACAGTAACTAAATGTAATACCAAATAGAAAGGTATCTAGTGCTAATAAAGCACCTTCCATAGCCAAAATGTTTGACATCACATATAGCGCCTAAAATAGCCAATAAAATCATTAGTTATATTATTATAATTTTATTATATAATGAGTAATTAACATACACTTTTATTTTTAATTTCAGTTTGTGTATTAACCACAAAATCATTAGGATCAATCATAAACTCTGATACAGCCAATTTGTAATATGTGGCATTGTGCCCTGTGTTGTCTAGATAAATTATTATTTGTCAAATAAGTTTTGATAAAAAAATATATTAATTAAAATATATCAAATATCTTTTGATAATATATATATAATAACATACAAATGGTTATTGTTATATATGATTGCATTTCATAATTAATGGAAAACCAAAATTATCTCGAATGAAAGGTATAATTAAGTTGACCATATGCCTGATCATTCGAATATGGTAGGTCTAAAAATATATTTATTTTGCAATAAGTAATTATAATATAAATATTATAGTATATATTAATACTGTATATAAAAGTATTATTTACCATTTTATAACCTAGGAAATACCTATTTTTATGGAAGCATGATGTAACAAAAGAGCTTGACTACTCAAAATAAGTATTCTTTATGGCCTCTATGTACATATTTTCAGCTATTTTTTTATTAGTGTTATCAAAGATATTAATCATAAAAACTGAAAAGTCACTATCTACAATAGTATCATTGATAACATCAAATTTGAAAAAAATTCTTTTCAAGCATTCAGATATTTGATTAGTAGGAAAAGAAAGATCTTTTGGATCAAACTTTCCTGTATATTGGCCATTCACCGGATTTAGTGTTGGCTGTGTTATATAAGCTGAGCAATTATTGAAAGTACCATTATCATCTAAAAATAAACGAATAAGGATTACTTATATAAAAAATTTAAACTGTAAATTGGTACATCTTATATTTAACCTAATTTTAATATATATATTGATATATATAATATCTAGATAACTTATCGAATAGCTTATCGCATAGCTAATAAATGGTTATCCGAATCCAATCTCTAATTAGAATCAAGATTTGATACTTATAAGAATATTCAAGTATTACATAGTTCTATACTAATATAATTCACTAGTAAACAAATTATTCTTTAGTTAAAATATAATTTTTAATCAATGATTAATAATGATTAACCACTTTTGTATAGAGCTTCTGAGGTTGTTAATGGAGCAGCATACTCCAGAATCAATTCAGGTTGAACCCTACACAAGTTGGGATAGATTTAAAAACTGTTATAAATTTGGTGAAACCTGGAGCAACCCGAAGCAGTTCTGGAACAAATCTAATTCAA